GGGGAGCCTTCAGGAATGGCCCAGGAGTTGCTGTGAATCTTGACTTTTCTTTCCTGACTCGGCCGCCGTCTTGAGTGTTTCTGGAGCTTGGCCCGGCTTCTGGTCCAAGGGTCCTGGCACGTGGTTGCTTGCGCCCCCCCAGATGTGCACGCATGCAGTCCCGCTCTCTGTCCACAAGGCGGCAGCAGTGCCGCCCTTCCCTCGCTCGGCAGCCGGCCTTCCCCCCCGGCGCCCAGCGGCGAGGGGCCGGGCGCTGTCGGGGGAGCTGCAGTACCGCGCTCTGTCCACGAGGCGGCAGCACTGCCGCCGGGCGCTGCCGGGGGGCGGGCGGAGAGCGGAGGCGCAAGGTGCCCGGGAGCCCCTGCCGCCGTTCTTACGGTTTCGGGGCACAGCTCGGTTTTCTAAATCAAAATGTTATGGCATTACTTTCAAAACCTTTGGATGTCCCCTCAGAGTTTTATATTCCTGTATATGATAAAGTAGATAGAAAGGGCATATTTCAAAATGAGTTTATAAATAAATTCCAGTCAATGTCTACCAAAAATCAGAGGCCCTGAAACACAAGAAGCTGTGCTGCAGGACCTGGTGGACTTGGTGTGCCCCTGGTTGTACCTACTCAGGTGTTCCCCTGCTGTGCTGTTGGTGCTGCATATCAGAGCAGTAGGGATGGACAAGTCCAGAGAGCTGGAGCCGAACCCCACTGAGCCGTTTTGGAGCAGGTGGGTGGAACTGAGGCAGAGCTGCTCAGGGGTGGTGGTAGGAACTGAAGCCTTCGCAGGGGAAGGTGTTTGATCATCACAATCCCCTCTTTTTCCTATGACAGCAGCTGTTCTTGGTCATTCCTGTTGTTTGCAGGGCGTAACAATTGCCTTGGGTATTTGCTACTGGGACTAGTGAGATCCTTTTCCTGATCCTGAGGGGAGACCTTGAAACAGAACTGTGAGAAATGAGGATGCTGCAGCTGGAGCAATGGGAATGGAGAGTCCACGGTGGATGTTGTCTGGTGAGTCTCCCAGTGTCCCTGATCTAGTGCTGTGCTGTCACCAAGTCACTTCTTTCTGATTTAAACACTATAAAGGCACTGAAAGTGTACCTTGGAGTGAAAAATGCCAGTAGGAAGCTTCATGTTCCCAAGAAGCCTACTGAGCTGTGGTTCTGGGGCAGGAGTGTCAGTGAAGTGACGTCTTCTGTGCCAGCCGAGTAGTTATTTTCCTTGGAGATCTCAGGGTCAGGATGAAATGGTGCTCATGCCCCACTGGGAGAGCACGGAGCAGGATCAGTGCTGTCTCTTTCCTGCTCTCTGCACTCCCTCAAGGATAACCTGGAGTGCTCTGGCTCATGGCAGTATAACCTGTGTGTAACAGCTTCCCGTGCCTGCCTGTGCAGCTGGGACAGTCACAGAGTGTCCCATGGAATCCCTGAGGTTGGGAATGCCCTTGGAGACCGGTGGGTCCAGCTGCTGCCCCAGCACTGCCAAAGCCAACCCCGTCCCCAAGTGCCACATCAGGAAGCACCCACTGAGTGGCACAAATTGGAGTGAGGGCTGCAGGCACTGACAGCATCGCTGCTCACTCCCAGAATGGCTCCCTTACCCCCTCCCTTCTCCCTAGACTTCTCAGATAGGGTGATTGGTCCGGAGAACACAAGGTGCAGGGGGTGTAGCTTAAGGGCAGACTTGGGACCATTTTGCTGCAGTTCAGGGAACCTGTGCCCAAAGCACCTTCAACTCCTGTGTGCTCAGCTTTTCCTTTGGGTTTTTATGCACCTGTAAATAGATTTTGGGATCAGTCAGTAAATTCAGTGAATTGTCCCAGCCAGGGACCTTTTTGCTGATCTAAAAGCAGCTTTTAACAGACCCAAGGCTTGCAGTATTTTCCTACAGCAGGGTGAGATATGACAGATTATCTTGTTCAGTGATGTCCACGAGGGCCAAGTCACCTGGGACAGCCCTTGCCGTTGTTTTTTGGCTCTCAGTGAAGTAGAAGTCACCTGGCTTTCCCATGTGGCATTGACTGAGGCTGTGAAGTGCAATCCAGAGCTGGTGCTTGGGGCTGTGTGTTTGGTGTGCAGACAACATTCCAGCCTGTCTGCTCTGGGGTTGAATGTGCATTTCCTCAGTTACTTGGACTGGGAAAAGGCCAAGAGGGTGGTGGGAAACGCTTTTCTCCCAGGCCTGGACAGCCTCAAGGCAGGGATGTTTTTTTGAATGTTTGTTGTCTTTTGTTTTCCAGCCCAGGGCTAAGCTGCTGTTCCCTGAATTGGGATGTGGAATGAGGAGGTCTCTGTTGGGAGAGTGGGAGAAAGTGACACACCTAACTGGTGTCGATGGGCAGAGAAATCTGATATTGGCAATATGTGTTCATGTGTGTTTAATCAATGCAGCGGTGCCAACATGGCTCAGGCACCGGTAGTTCAGGACAGAGGACAAGGGGCTGACAGACACTGGCACTGGATGCTTGGGCACGGCTGGAGATGAGCAGCCGGGCCTCCTTCCAGCCTGTTCTGGGTATGGATTTGGGTCCTGTCTGGCCACAGAAGCGTGTGGCAGCTGGAGACTGGGCAGGTTTGGGGGCTGTGCTGCCCCAGCCTCTTTAGTTCTTGTCTCTGGTTAGCTCCTTTCAATGGGAAAGCATCCTTGCTTGGCTGGTTACTCCCTGCAAACAACCTGAGGTTCCTCCCCATTGGTGTGACCCAGTGGCACTGTCACCTGCCCTTGTCACAGTTGGAGAGCGGAGCTGCCCAAACCATCCCGTGCCCGCAGCCGGAGCAGCCAGCAGGAGGAGGCAGCCGTTCTTGGCCGGGAGGTGAGAGGCCCGGGGCTGCAGGTGCAGGCTGCTGGGAAGGGCAGAATTCTTCCCAGGGAGAATTTCAGCTCCTCACAGCTCTCGGCGAGTGCTGCATGGACTCCGGGCTCAGCCGGGTAGGATGTGGGGGTTGTGTTCATGTTCCCGGGAACTCTTTTCCCAACTGTTGGGACTAACTGCCTAGAGAATGACATTTCTGATGGCCCGGTCCCACCTGTGTCCGCTGGAAAAGGGCGGGGGTGAAGAGGCAAATGCCACAGATCCATAGGGATGATGGAGTTGTGGTGTCTGGCTGTGCCGAGAGGAACAGGATTTCAGAGAGACGACGCTGGCCAGAACTTCCGGGCAAGAACCTAAGGAAAATGAGAGTGGGATATCCATGGATAATCTAGCCATGAGAGGGCAGTGAGACACAGCTTATGGTGAAAGCTTTCAGAAATTACTTCAAAATTCCCCTGACCTTGCTCCACCGTGGAATAAATAAATACAAAGGTTTGCTCCTGCTCTTGCTGGGGGGAGAAATTAATCCAAACCCAAGATGCTTTTACAGCACAGGTGGGAAAGATTCTAAATATAAACAGGACAGCTCTGTGCGTGCCTTGTGATTGCAGTCATAATAGATGTGTAATATCTATCACACACATCCTATGTAATAAGCACTAAATATATCAAATATTTTAATAAATATAATACAATATCAAGTTTTAATATATGTTATTTATAAAATATTATAAATTCATGTTATCCTATTACAGCTTATGCTTGCATTGAATATATAATATTTCCCTGCCAGTTACTGGAGGAGAACATCTGGAGTCCGGTAACTACTGCAACAGGTACCCAGAGAGGTTGAGGGAGATGTTCCAAACTGGAAGGCCCTGGGAGCACAGGGCCCTGTGCAGGTCCTGGCCCAAGTATGTGACTGATCTTTGGCGACTGGGAGCACTGCAGCCACCCAATAAAGTCTAAGTAGTTAGTCCTAAATTGCACATGCCAAGCAGGTTGCAGAAGTCTTCTGCCATGTGTGTTTCTCTGATGCATCTCAGGTGGTTTGTGACGTGAGTTGTCATTGAAAGGAGGAAGGATAGAGACGTTAAAAGATCAAAGATTTGGTGTCAAATCCTCCCTGCTCAGTCCATGCCTGTGCATTCCCTTTGTGCCCCTCTACTCTGTAAGCAAATTAGCAGGGTGATTAAATGCAGCTAAGGTGACAATATTTAGAGTTTCCCAGGTCTTATCCTCCAAGCCATACCCAGGTAGATCTCCAGACAGACTTTGCAAGGCTGAGCACAGGATGAGCTCCCGTGTGATCTGGACTAACCAAGCAATGAGGTCAGGGTAGGATAATGGGGCAAAGTGAGCTCTGCTACCATGAAATGTCATGTTGATAAATGCAACTGCGACGTTTTTTATAAACAAAATTAAACTTCATTTGCTTCACAGTAGCTAATGTGCCGTTAATTCAAACCTCACAGAACTCCTCACTGGACACAGTTAATAGTCAGCAGTACAGATAGGCCAGGCTTTGAAAGCATTTAATATTCACTGAAGTGCTGCTTGTATCCAATTATAACTCACTACTTGCCATCTTAATAATTTAAATCTGTCCACTCTTTAGAGAGGAAAAAAATGCACTAATCAAAGACATGAATGCACCTTTTGCTTTTGACAGCATCAAATTAAAACTAAATGGTAGATCTTGAATGAATTACTTTGAAAGAATAAAGGCATTAATGAGGTAATTTCATTATAGAGGCTCATCCAAGCCTATGTGAAAACAAGGGAAGTAAATGGAGAGGAAAGCCGCCGAGGAAATTAGGGTTCCTTCCACACTAATTAATGTTTGGGGGCATTTAGTACAGGCACCAAATTAACTGCTCCAAAGAACGCCATTGACAAAAAAAAAAAGACATTGTTGCCCTGCCATGTAATTAGAAGACAGTACAAGCAGAACACTTAATGAGTATAAAGCCAGCCTTTAACTTACTCTGCCCAGCTTCTGAAAACATGCCTTTGTAGAGGCCTAAGTTTAAGGAAGCACTGGGCGTACAATATAGGATTGTTTAGGTCCTTCTGGTCGCTGAGCTGTAAACAGGTAGCTCTGAATGACAGACTCTGAGACTCCTGGGAGGCCTGGCTTCCCAGAAAAAAAAAAAGAAAAAAAAGAAAAAAAAGAAAAAAAAAAAAGAAAAACAAAAAAACAATGCAGAAAGAAGCAAAAAAAGGTGAATAGACCCAGCCCGGCAGAGCCAGCACAGTGAATGCTCACCGCTGTCTTAAGTGATTACATGATGTTGTGCCACCCCCTCTCATTGAGTTATCTTTACACTGATTTTGTTTCCTCTAATTGAAGCTGATGAGGTGCTAATTGGTTGCTTTTTTAAAAAAGCACTACTTAAGCACTGGCAAACAGAGTAAGACAGCGTGAGTGGAGTTAATGAGGGCTTAGCAAAAAAAAAAAAAACCAAAAAAACAAAAAACCAAACAAACCCCCACACCAAAAAAAACCAAAACCAACCATCCTCAAAACCCAAACCTAAATCAACTCCTGTTGTTCGAAACTAAACCGAGAAGGGAAATGACTGCATGAGGGAAATAGCTATGAGGGTTTGAGTTTTGAGAGAGAAAGGGACAGTTCGAGCACTAAATGAATTCCCACACTTTGGCCAGCGTCCTTGGCATTCTTTTTTTTTTTTTTTTTTTTTTAATTTAAAGTGCTGCCATCAGAGTATTAAACCTGTTGTCACTACACCTGGAGCCAGAGGTCCTGCCGTTGCCATGTGCGAATGCATTTCCTAAAAAAGGCTAGCATAACATTAAATACTCTGTATTTTCCATGTATTCTGTAGGTGGGTTGATACCAGCTCCTGGTTTTCAAGACCAGTTCTGTAGTTTCCCAGCTATTGAGAGTATTCTGAGTGCTAAAGGAGGATACAAAAAGGCCTTGCTCTATTGCTGGTGTTGCCTGGCAAGACACAAAAATAATAATTCTGTGAGTTTTTGAAGGCGACACTGCCAATCCCTGTGTTAAACACAATCCTCTGCTGTTGCTGAGGGTTTTTTTTAATATCCAATCTAGGCACACATGTGGGCACAGGATGCTTTTTCAGGCTGTTTGTCCAAGTAAGCAACGCTTTAAGGGCTCCAGGAAGAGGCTGCCCTATGATGACGGATTCAGAGTCTCTGGCACTGGCTCAGGCCCAACAATCGACTCTCAAAATTCTTTGAAATCCAGCAGCTTAGCGGTTTCCTATTGGACAAAAAGAGCCAAGTGGAAACTCCTCCAGTCAGCTCAAGAAGACAATGAACTTTTCAGTAAGACAATTTTGATTATCTCTTTATGTAGAGGAGCAATAAAGTGGCAGGGCTCCTCCTTTCTTCACTTCTTTTTTTTTGCCTGTGTATAGAAAAGTCAATCGGTACACAAACAGCGAGTTCCTTGGGTTTGTGTTTATGCTTGGTAACTTAAAGCTCTATTCACGTTCTAAACCGGATTCTTTTCACTTTAATGCATGGTCACTTATTTTCTTTTGGTTGTCAGGAAAACAAGGGATCTCTTGCTGGCTGCTAGAAAGAAGTTTCCTAGAGAACAAAGTTACAACCAGTTCCTCCAAACGGGTGCCCATAGCCATCCAGCTATAAAACAGCTAAGAAAGATGCAAAACTGGTAAACCCTGCTTTTTCCTGCAGAGGCAGAGAGCAATTCAGTGGTTGCAAAGCTCCTGGGGTGCCATGTGCCAAATCACCTTTGTAATCGGCGTTGTCTTTGCTAGAGTAGAGCATTTTGGTTTGTTTCTGGTGGGACCTGATTGCATTTTCAGACCATCTCATCTGGTGCTCTTACCATCAGGGGCCAATAAACCTCATCTTTGACCTCAGAGGGAATTTGGCAGCTATCGGTGCAGGAGAGGTGGCAGATGGCAGCGTATCCATCAATTGCTGACATAATAAAGCTGGAGAAAGCAAGCAAGAAGAGGAGAGGCTGGGAAGTGAACCCCCCCCCTTACCTGTCCTCTTTCCTGCTGCTTTGTCTCATAGTCTGAAAATGGCTTTTTCTCAATTTTGGTCGCTCTAGAAATGTTAGTGCAGTAAGAATTCATATGGGGTAATGTTTAGTAGGTTTACAAATTTAGTTTGGATGCAAAAAACACAAGGGGTGACAGCAAGGAATTTGGTGTGGGTGTGTCAGTGTGTGTCTATTTTCCCCTGAGTTCCACAGGTTTCTTCATGGTAATTCCAAGAGCTCTTTTCAGTAGAACTCAATTGAAGGGGACTTCCCCATACTTCTTCCTTTGGTTATCAAACCCTTTGAGAACTCCTTCCTGCTCACATACAGAAATAGAGAAAAGTGGCAGTGATGTGCTTGCACTGAAAAGAAATTGTCTGGATGGTTCTCTGTTCATCAAGGGATGCATTAGGGATCATGCCCTATATTGCCCTCCCCACTGAGACTGGGACATATAGAGCTTTAGAGAAACAATAAAGGACATGGGAACTTGGGCAGAGCTGAGGGAAGATCTAGAGTCAGCAGAGAAATGTGCTGGGGAAAGAAATCAGCAA